GCGAGTGCTGGTAGAGACCTTCTGCAAAGGTGAATTGGCTTCGCCTGAGTTTCTTAGCGCACAGGAAGAGCACGTGCGAGATATTTTGGCCCATAAGGGCCTGAACACATGGTGCAAGATGCTTTTGCATGATAACTTTGTGCATGGAGACATGCACCCTGGCAATATCCTTGTTGACATTTCTGACCCCCATGATCCGCGCGTGTCGCTTATTGACGTTGGACTGTGCCAACACATTACTCCAGAAGAGGCCGTCGTCACACACGACCTGATGGAGTCCTTTGTTCGGTGGAAGGCAGATTTTTGTTGTTCCTCTTTGCTACGGATGAGTAAGACGCAGAAGTTTGTGAACAAGAAGAAGTTTGAGAAGGAGGTGGAATGGCTCTTTGAACACTGGCGTCCAAAGAAGTCCTCGGATTTTGCGGTAAGCAATATCTTGCAGTCCATATTTGAGTGTATTCGCGAGAACCGCGTTCAAATGGACCCCCCATTTGTCTCACTTCTTTTCTCTGTTCTCGTGCTGGAGTCGTTTATTATGAACCTCAACCCAGAGTTCAACATGGTGCGGCACGCCGCTCCGTGGTTAGTGGGCGAGGGCCATATATCGTACGGCCTGGCAAAGAACATTTTGCTGACGCGACTCGATGTCTTGAAACAAGACCTCGGCGTCCTGCGCAGCCGTGTGAGAGGCGGCGTGCTCGGTAACTTGGCGCAGAAAGAAAGCAGTCGCATGATGACAAGCGAATGATAGGCGCTTTGCGGGGGGTGGGGGTGTATGTGCGATATTTTGTGAAGGATCCTCTGCCGTGGCAACGGTGTGGGAAGATGTGCAAAGAGGTGAAGGAAAAGGGGCTGAGGGGGGACAAACACGCATGCAAACAGACACACAAATGTCGCACCTTGTCGGTGGAGTGGGGACGCGCTACGCAAGAAAAAAAAAAAAGGTTGCAACGAAGAAATGTTCTTTTTTTTTTTTTTTTTTTTTCAAAAATAATAATAATAATAACGGATTTGAGAGGACGAGAGGAAAAGAATGAAAAAAAGAAGGTGTCATGTATGACAGGAGCTTTTTTTTTCTTTTTTTTCTCGTGCTTTTCTTCTGAATGTGGCTGCCTGGGCCCGAGGATTTAAGTGTAAATGTATTTGGCAAAACCCACCCACAGGGATAACAACAAAGAAGTGTCAGTGCTGTTTTCATGCCTTTGTGGTATTTCTTCTTATTTATCATATATATATGTATATTACCCTTTTTCTTGTTTTTTTGTTTGTTTTACTGAATGGGGGTGAACTATGTTGTATGATGGTTTCTCTTTTAGGTATTTTGGGTGTCTTATGCGCCAATGAACGAAGTAACTGACTTGCATGCACATGCAGATCCTTTTTTTCTTCTGCAGGGGGACAAAGAGAGGAAGTCGGTTACTGCATGTGGCGTACCTGTTTTGGATGGCGAAAACAGGGTGTGCGCAGATGACGGCAGGAACACTGAGGATTATGGGAATTCGTTGCAAAGTTCAACGGATGCGCCCGTAGAGGAGTGTTGGCGTCGCAACAAGGAGCTACTTGAAGGGATTCTTAGCGATTTTTTTTTTTCGACACTGCCAAGCGAGGCGAATACGTCAGGACGGTGCAATGTCTCTCTGGAAGCTTTGCAGGCGCCCAGGGTTCTCCGAAAGTGCGGCAGCTATGTTGTGGATCCTGTGCACATGAAGTTGGGTGCTGTGGATGCATTACTGAGTCGTGCGGCCCAGGGGGGATCGGGGACAGAATCTAGCGAATCAAAAAAGCATTTCTTGCCTCAAAGTTTGCCACAAAAATTAAATGTTCCGCTTACTCTCCGATGTGCCTTTTGTCAAAGGTTCGATTCTTTATGCAGCAATTGTCACCGCAATTGGAAGGAGATTCTTCGAAAGCGGCAACGTGTTGTAGCTCTTCAGAGTTACTGCAGACTACCAGAGGAAAGGCGGTGTGGATTGCTTTTTATGACGGCTGCATATGGGGTGGGGGAATTTGCAGCGATGCAGCTTGAATTTGATGGGGAAAAGTGCTTTAAATGGCGTTCGATCTTTTTCCCTTTAAAAAATGGTACGACGGAGCGACAACACAATCTTGTGAGGGTGGGCGAGGTACATGCTTTGCATGTGGCATTTGCTTATGATCGTGTTGACGTGGCTGAATTCTTGCTTGCTCATCCCCGTTGTTTGATGCTGAAGTCCGAACACCGCGTTGACATACTTAATTTTCTTCCCCAACCTCTTACTCCCCAGTGGGAAGCTGTGCTAAATAATTCGGATGTGTACGTGAATCACCTTCTTGTTGAACAAGCCAAACGGCTGCGTCGTGCGGAAGACTGGGAAGGGGCGGAGGCTCTCTACGCTGAACTGCTTCAACGAAAGCCAGACAGTGAGCATGCACATAGCGGTTGGGCAAAGATGCGCTATGACCAAGGATATGTGGTGGAATGCATTCATTTGTGCGATTCTATGATTTCTGGTGAAACCTTGGTGGATTGGAATGAATTTAGTTTGGAGAGCATTAAGTCATTACGTGGGGCGTCGTTAGAACGATATCATGAGTACTGCCACCAAGTTGAGACTGAAGGAGTAATTAAGGCGTGTGGTTGCGTCATTCTTGATAAAGTGCGTGTTCCTATTAGAAAGTTACCCTTTTCCATTATAGTCGATAGCATATTTCTTTTTTGTGACGGTGTGTCTTTGTGGAATATTTTTAAATCCACCAGAATGCCACTGCTACGTGCAGTGTGCGAAAAACTTACTGTCCTTCTGCCTAAATGGTGTCTCCAGATACTTTTGATGCGTGAGCCTGGATTTAAAGAAATGTCTGATAAACTCCTCTGCAAGCTGCCTTCTAGTGTGGGACAATTAGCCGTTTCACCTGTGCGTCCACTAGGGCTTTCTGTTGTGGCTATGGCAGACTTTAACATGTTTCTTGTCCGTGCACATGCCGCGTGTTTCTCAGCAAAGACGGTTAAAAATGGGTTTTCTGCCCTGTCGCTTTTTGGCTTTGGCCGCAAGGAGTCCAAGGATGGTCGTCAGGCACCTAACGGAGCAACGGAGGTCGTTATCAGTAAACAATATCGTATTTACCGCCCGAGTGTAGAGGAGCCGTGGTGTATAAAGGAAACTGGGGAGTGGGAGTTTGATGAACTGTCAGTGGAGGTGTTCGAGTCACATTTACTGCAAGTAAAGAACCTCTGTGATGATAAGTAGTTGTGTCAATGAAATTTTTATGACTGGATATTCTTTGGTTTGGTTTTGTTTTGCTTGTTTCATCTTTCTTCTATCGTTGTTTTTGTCGTTCACCTCTTGAAACTGTGGGAATTGACATTGTTATTTCTTTTTGTTCTCTATTGCGTTCTAAAGACATATATATATATATATATATATATATATATATATATGCCAGTTGGAGTGATTAAGTTTTCTTCCATTGTTTTTTTTTTTTTTGCGCGTCGCATTTATTTTTTGTTTTTCTTTACTATTTTTTTTTTTTTTTTGCCTTGACAACAACACACTTCTCTGCCGGTGGGTAGGTGGTGGCGCAGGCAATGGCTGAGCGCCTTTCCAGGCCTCATGCGTCTGCATCGCCGAGGCCGGCCTATTCCTCAATGGGAGGTGAATTGACAGACCGCTACGGCTTTTTTATTGACGCAGAGAGGAAGGCAGAGGAGGGCGAGTACATTCGGCAGCACCCGGAGATGCCAGCCACGCAGAAGATGTGGGCACGCGTGCTGGTGAGGTGGGACCACACCTCATACAAAAAAAAGAAAAAACTCGCTCGAGAAGGCATCCCACAGTCAATGCGACGCATTGTGTGGCCGTTGCTTCTGAACAGCCACGAATCTTCCGGTCTTAGCCATGAAAAATATCACGTGTTAAAGTCGCGTCCACCGGCTGATCCAGAGGTGTTTGCCGTTATTGAACGTGACCTGGGACGCACATTTCCGGCGCACCAGTGGTTTGCGAGGGCTGATGGTGTGGGGCAGACCAAACTTCGGGGCATTCTTCGTGCCTATGCCAACATTCACCCGGAGGTGGGTTATGTGCAGGGGATGGCCTTTTTAGCATCCACTCTTTTGTTGCATATTGAGGATGAGGAGGATACCTTCTGGGCCTTTTTTTCGCTTATGCGCAACCCAAAGCATTCTATTTGGAAGATGTTCACCCCTGGGTTCCCTTCTCTTTATATGCGTTTTTATCAATTAAAGAAACTTATGCAGCGCAATTGCATGTCATTGTTTCGTCTTTTAGAGGCGTTTCACGTGGAACCAGAAGTTTACGCGACACATTGGTTTTTAACCCTCTTCTCATACTGCCTGGAGTTTGACCTACTCTCACGTATATGGGATATGTTTCTTTGCGAAGGATGGAAAATTATTTTTCGTGTGGCGATTGCTCTATTTTTGCTTTGTGAGAAAACGTTGAAGGAGGCGAAGGATGAATGCAATCTTCTTTTGGCTTTGCGACGCATACATATGGAGGACACCGACTTGATTCTTCGCAGATCACTTAAAGTGAAGTTTAAGACGGCTGATTTACTTCGCTGGGAAGCAAAATTTGAGGCTCGCAAGTGACGTATTTCCTTGTGTGTTGTGTTATTGTTGTGTTGTGTTTTGAGCACTTTTTTCAGTTGTATTGTGGAATTGAAAACTCTTTGGTGGTGGTGTCGAATGGGGACGAACAGGGAAGAGGAGAAATGCAATGCATCCATCAATGCATCTGCTTGGGTGCGGGAGATTTTTATTTTTCTTTATTATTCTTATTATGTTTGTTTATTTTCCGCCCCCCTGTCCTTCTTGTTTTTTTTTTTTTTTTTTTTTTTTTTTTTGTGGTGAAATTTGGTCTTTGTTCTCATGTCAGCATGGGAATAGAGAGGGACGTTGCTTTGCGTCCCTCGTCTTTTTTCCCGTATTGTTTTGTTTGCGTGAGGAGGATAAAAAGACGTGAGGGCGAGGGGCGAGATGCACATTCATCAGACCATTCCTGTTACGATTGTGGATCCTGTGACGTCTGCACCGTCACCCGCCCTGAAACATATTGAGGACCGCACGTTGTACGCGTACCGCAACATGGGATTTGCACTAACTCACTTTCACCCCGCATTGGTTGGCGCGGACTGCCACCCCGTTGTTATTGAAAACATGAACCAACTACGCATTTATCACCGGAGGGAGTATACGTATCATTTATTGCTGCGTCGAACGTATAATGTGAAGACTTTTCAGACGGCACTTGGCATCATGGCCGACCCAAATGAACCCTTTACCAATGTGGATGAGTTAATTGACGGTAGGCAGCTTGTCTATCACCATACTGGGGCGGATCAGGATATTATCAAGAGCTTCTGTCGCCAATTAGAGTCCCCCTTTGCTCCTGCGACACATCTTAGACTGGATGCCGTGGCCGTGAGTCCCCATGCATCGGCACTGATTACATCCTGTGACACGTTGACCGACGCCTTTCTGTTGAACTTTGTCCGGACAGCCCACTACACATATTATCTCTATCAACGCACTACGAACCCGCGTTATTTAGAAGCTTGGGGAAGTGTTTATGGGTCACCCAAGCTTTCCCTGAAAAGGCCACTGCTCCTCTACATTGGTGTTGGTCCACAGGAGTTTACTGAAGGCCAGATGGAGGAGAGTATGCGGCGTTCACTACAGTCTCTCGTGGCAATTGCAACGAAACGCATAGAGGCACCGCCAAATGAACCTTCAGCAGAGTTGATGCCCGCCTCTGTAAGGCAATTGGCAGAAAAATATGGCGTTCGTTTGTTGCAACGGTGGCAAATGCGTTACTTTATGGTGCGGCGTTGAGAAATATAATGATGATGGTGAAGGAGGAGAGGTGCGAGGTGTCAGGTGTTGAGTGTTTTTTTTTTTTTTTTTGTGTGTGTGTGTGTGCATATGTTTGGCTTTGCTGTATTTTTTTTTTTTTTTTTTTTTTGCGTGTGTTTATGGGTCTGAGCAATTGCATCACTCGGAGTTTTTTGGCCGGTCATGCAGGAGGGTAGCGTCTTTGGGCCCGATGAGTGTGCGGAGTCTGGGGATTTTGACGCGGAAGAAACCACCGGGCCGTTTCGCATGGAGGGCAATAACACAAGTTTGGGACGAGAAAAACACGATTTGCCTGCAAAAAAAGCTTGCGGCGTGCCGCAGAATACACACCTAGTCAATAATGATGCCGATGCACCGTGTGAGGAGCCGTCAGTGAGGCCTCAGTGCATGGATGAGGTTGACGATGAGGAAAATGAGTTTGTGGACGAATTTGGTTTTGTGGTGGATAAAGAAGAGAAGGACAGGGAACTTCTTTATGTGAAGAATATGGACGGGAGAAAAGTGGTCCGTCGCGAAATTAAGTGGGCAAACATGGCTTCCGACTGGAGTAATGTGAACTCTAAGCGACACGCCAAGCTGAAAGAGCGGTGCCGCAAGGGAATACCGGCACGCTTCCGTGGCGTGGCATGGCAATTGCTGCTTGGGTCACACAAGCAAATGTCAGATGCCGCCAATCGAGGCACATATGAGTCTCTGTATAAAAAGGAACTTGCGGATCCGGAACTGACGAATACGATTGGTCGGGATTTGGCACGAACCTTCCCGACACATATTCTCTTTCGAGATGAAGGAGGCGTTGGGCAGACGTTTTTGCGGAATGTGCTCCATGCCTATGCAGCCGTGGATCCGGAGGTGGGATATGTACAGGGCATGGGTTTTGTTGTTGGTGTGCTCTCCACGCAGATGGGTGAAGAAGAGACATTTTGGGCATTGTATACGCTCATGTATGATAGACGATATAAGCTTCGCGATATGTACCGTCCTGGGTTTCCGATGCTGCAACAACTATTTTATCAGTTAAAACGTCTTATGGCTCGCTTTGTTCCCAAGGTGTATCATCACTTTGAGACGATGGGGGTCGACCCCTCCTTTTACGCCTCTCAGTGGTTTATGACATTGTTCGTTTACCACTTTCAGTTTCGTGCCCTGCTGAGGGTTTGGGACATTTTCATGAGCGAGGGATGGAAGGTAATTTTTCGTGTTGCAATCGCGTTGCTAAAATGGGAGGAAAAACGTCTTTTGGAAATGCATTTTGACGAGATTCTTATCGCGTTGAAAAGCTTGCACGAAGGGAAAGACCCGGACGCGATATTGCGCCATGCACATGAAGTTAAGTTTAAAACTTCCGAGTTGCAAGCGTACGGTGATGAATATTGGCGCGAAAAGAGAGCGGCGTAATTACGATACGCCATGCATGCATGCTGTTTTTTTTTTTTTTTTTTTTTTTTTGTAGCTTCTCCAATGTGTTTTTCACCTATGGGGAGCATCTGAGGTTGTTTTTTTTTTTTTTTTTTTGCTTTTTTGGATTGAACGCACTGCACCTGCACCCTTTAAAAGTCTCATGAATTTATTTCCTTTTTTTTTTCCCATGTCATTTATGAGGGGGTTTTCTTCACTTTATCTTTTGGAGGGGTTGGTTACTTTCACAATTGACAGGGTGTTTGGTGCTCCGATGGCGCACCCGGTTTCTGCCGACTACGAGGAGACGCTCGAAGGCGTTCAGGAGAAATTGTGGTATGCCTTGCCGTCCATTGCCAAGATGCGGGCCGATATGGCGGCAGCGGCCGAAAAAACCGCGGATGATGCGGCCGGTGACGCCCCGCAAGAGGCGTTGGTGGAAAAGGGTCCCGCCACTTCCGCCGTAAGAAAGGCCTCTGTCCCGTTTGCGGATATGCGGCAGCTAGTTGAGTCCCTCTTTATGGCTTGCCACACGAACCCTATCGCGGATGATGTTGAGAAGGGCGTCAAGGCACTTTTGGGCGACGCGGAGGGGGGAATGTACACATGGGACGATTTCCTTCAAGTCTTGAGAGACGTGGAGTCTTGGTGGTTGGAGTGGCATGACCCCGAGGAAAAGTGGCTGGCCGTGAGTGAGAAGCACCACGCAAGTGTCTTGAAGGAGTTGTTCGACTGCGTCACGCAAGACGTGGAGCCTTTCGGGCTGCTCCCGTGCCAAGAAGTTTTGACGGCGCAGTCGGTGGTGGCGCATTCCAAAACAATTATCACGCCGTTCGAGGAATTTGTGGAGTTTGTGAAGCCCCGTGAATTTCCGGAGATTTATGACACGTTGTGGGGGTTGCTTGTTCCAGAGGTAGAGGACTCAGGGAGCAGTGGCATACTTCCGGTTGAGCAATTCACGGTTTTTTTTAAATGGTTCTACCTGCAGGTCTTTACCAACGCCACTGAAGACTCTGCCGCTGTCGCGGCCCGCACAATGTGGATTGAACACTTAAACGCACAAGGCGTGATGAGTAAGAAACAGTTTGTGAGGGCTTGCCGCCGCATGTGCAGCATTTATAATCCCGAAGCCGATGGCACACAATGCCTAGAGACTTTTTTTCGTTCAAGCGCTGCAGCAATAGGGGAATCTGAACAGGCTCTTGGGATGATGGCAGTGTTTGAACATCGGTGGCCGCCCTCTGCATCAGGCCGCATGCTTATTGATCCGAAGGATTTATACGTCCCAGAGGAGTTGGACGAAATCAAACAAGAACAAGGATTGTACGACGCGGATGTTACTGCCAATCGTATCATTGTCTATGGCAGACGAGGTGTGGGGAAAACAGCTGTGGGTAAAGCTTTGGCAAAACGACTGAATTGTGTACATGTCAGTCTCGAGGATCTTGCTTTGGAGGCGATTGCAAAGGCAGGTGAGGGTGATGCATTGGGTGCCGAACTCCTCGACTGTGTGGATCGTGAGGCCAAAATTCCACTTTCACAGCTGAAATTGTTGGTGCATCGGAAGCTTTCGACAGACGAGGTATTGTACCGCGGTTATGTATTTAGTGACTTCCCTGTTCTTGGCGATGTGGAAGATGCGGATGTATTGGAATTTTTAAATGGATGCGGTATTCTGAACGTAATTGTGCCGAATATCCTTCTGCACTTGAGCTGTGATGACAACTTTTACCCGGAGCGCCTCGATGCCACGTTGGAGGAACGGCGTTTATTACATGAATCGGAGCAGCAGCTTCGTAAAGCTGCAGAGGAAGAACAAAAAGAGAGGGAAAACTTTCACAAGGCGTTGATTGATAGAGTGGAGCAGCTGCAAGGAAAGATCAAACGATACGAAGAACTCTCTGCTGCGGATGCCAACGTGGAGGACCCGGCAGAGTTGGAGGCAGCGAAGACTGCCGCCAAGGAAGCCGAAAATGAACTGCCAGAGGCAATAGAAGCACAAAAAAAGGATGCAGAGAGGTCTACTGAAATGTCACCCGAAAGTGCCGAACGTGAGAAGCAGATAAGAAATTTGGCATTAATGCGAATTCTAGAGCGGTCTCTTGTGGGAGACGAAAAACGAGGCAAAGAGATGTACGTAACGGACCTTCCATGTTTTCAGGGGATTGTGGAGCGTCTTCATTCGGTGGGCCGCTGCTTAACGGTGGGCTGCACGTCCTTGATTGAGGACACGGTTGCGTATGTTGTGGAGACGCTAATGCTTCAGCCATGTGTGTTGCCACAGGACCTCACCGCCGAAAGCCGACTGCCGCCAATAACAACAAAACCGGAGCAACAACAAGGGGAGGAGGATTCAATTTTAATCCTTGAAAGGGAAAATGAGATGAAACGGGCGGTAGAAAAAGCCGCTGCAGAACTGGGGGTCGCTTTTTCCACGCGTTGGAAGCGCTTCTGTCCGGTCACTTTTGCAGAGTGTGGGGTTTTGGTGGAAGGAGCAGCGAACTACGGTTGCGTGTTCCGACGGCGGCTCTACCATTTGGCATCTGAGGTGAAGCTTGCCAAATTTAAGGCGAACCCACTGCCGTATCTTTCTCCGACACCGCTCGACAGGGAGCCAATCCTTGTTTTTCCCATTGCACAGGGGCGAGACGCCGCTCAGTCTCTTCCAACTTCAACGGTAACGGAACTCGTCCGACTTTTGCACGAGCGCCTGGAGCTCACACCGATAGAGTTTAACGAGTTTGTCGCCCTATGGGATAAACATCGAAATCTGAAGGAATTGCGTGAACAGGCACTCGCTGCACGGGCGAAATTTGAGCTAGCGGAACGAAAACTACGCGCAGACCGGTTGAAAAAACGCAAGGCCGCCCTTAAAAAGAAGGAGAAAAAAATAAAACAAACTTTGAAAAACAAAAAGGGACGCAGGAGTACAGCGGCTGAGGCCCCACCGGTGGAAGAGGAGTTTAAGGGCTGGGAGAAGAGAGCCGAGGGTCCCGAAACGGCTACGGTGCGTATTGAAAAGAAGATTACTGAGCAAATGCATCGTCAAAAGACATTTGTTCCGATTTTGGTACATGCCTTTGAAAGCATGTCGATGGACGCTGTGGACCGGCTACTTGGCGAGGGAGTGTTTCCTGAAAAGGTTGTTGTATTGCAGTACGAGCGGCCGTCGGAAGAGCACTCCAATGCTGCATCTCCGTCTGTGGGGGAGGATGGTGAGATGAGTGAGACGGGTATGGAGGAAGTACCAATGCCGCAGCAGATTCTTCTTAAAAAGCTAGAAAATCGCATGCGAGCCGGGTCCGGCGATAAAGATGACTCAACTCCCACTCAAATCTTTACAATTCATCGCTTGAATGCAAACAAAAAGGACGCGCAGACTTTGACCGCCGAGATTCTTCAAATTGTGTGCCCCGGCATGGCACCAGTCGAGGACGGTGTTGTGGATGTGGAACTTGGGGAGGTGGAGGATGAAGGAACAGAGGCGGAGTTGGATGAAGACGAAGAGGGCGAAGAGGGCCTTGGACCTGAGGTGGCGGATCCGGCTGCGCGGCCGGGTAAAAGGTTTCTGAATCAATTTGGTACCAGGTTACAGTACTGTCCTGTGACACTGTACGAAAAGCGGTTACTTTTATGCGGCAAAAACGAGTTATGTTCACAGTATCAAGGTAAATTGTATGTTTTTTCCTCAGAAGAGGCAAAGGAAAAATTTGAGCGCAACCCGTTACTTTACATTGGGAGGCCAACTCCAACAATACCGCCCCGTTTGTGGATAGTGGGATATACAAAAAGCGGCAGAAAGACACTCGGAAGGAAACTTCATGAGCAATACCATGTGCCTTTTTTTTCCTACGACCGACGTTTCTTTGAACGCTGCGTTGAGGCTGCACGTAAACCCGGTGGGGAGGTCGTTGATGGGATCGCCATAACTGAGCAAGGCAGTGAGAATTCATACCTTGCCCTTGCCGAGTCTATTTTGAAAGAATTGCGGGAATTTGACGCCGAACAGGAACGATGCATGAAACTGCGTGAAGAAGCAGAGGCAGTAATGGAGCGCCGCGAGAAGCATGAGGAAGAGGATGAAGAAAATGAAGAGGATTTGGACGAAGAGGCTGAAGCCCGTTTGCAAGAATACCTTGAATTTGAACCAGAAGCCAATGAGGACCGCGAGGTACGACTGAGCGAGGCCTACCTGAAGATTGCCAGTTGCGTGACGCACATTGAGCCGTTCGAGTCTGAGGGCTACATTATGGTGTGTCCGCCATTTTCCGAGGGAGACATCGAACTTCTGTTCTCCACCGGATGTATTCCAGAGTCGACGGTGAAGTTGGAGCTTTCAGAGGAGCTCTTCTTTGCATATAAAAAGGAGGCTCGTCGGGCTTCTATCGCCGTGTCTGAGGAACCTCGTGTTGTCGCCGGTTCACAAATGGAGGTCTTAAAAAAACTGTCAGAGAAGGAGCAGCAGAAGAAAGAACGTGAGTTGCGCAAGTGGCGCCGTCGTCACATTGGCAAGGATGATCCTGAGTCTGAACTCGAGGATGAGGAGGATGAGGACTTGCCATCTGGAGAATTGAGGAGGAACGGGAATTCGGATGCTGGTGCCAATGAGGATGACGAAACGCAGTCCCTTTCATCGTTCCGAAATATGGAACAAGATGCTCTTGCCGAGTTTGAGGAGTCCATCGCAGATCGCTCCGTGAATGCGGTGGCGCTGAATGGCGACCTTTCGCCAAATGCCGTCTTTCGCGCTGCCACCCGACAGCTTTCTCGATTTCTGGAGCACCGCCGTTCTCTGTTATATGCTGCAGAAGTTGTTCGATTTGATGTCGCCACGGAAATGCTGGAGTCTGGCGAGGCACTCCTTTCCTATTTTGGGTACACCGATCCGGTCGCCCTGTACGACGAACGACATGGGGTGAGACGTATTTGTAAGTGGATGCCAAATGGCACAGGCTTGGAACCTGAGCCATCCACGGAAAATGCAGAGAAGCCATCAGCTGCAGTGAACACAAAAGCAAATGACGGAAACACAGCGTCGAACGATGATGCGGAGGCGGTTGGAAACCACTCCGAGGAAGTATTGGAGCCATCACACATGGAAGTCTTATCAGAAGAGGATTTGGACGACGAGGAAATGAGTGAGCATGACGATGAGGAAATGGAAGAGATACTCGATGCTCATGAACGAAGAAAACGATTGGATTGGCTGCGTCGATGTCAGCGAGTGGCTCTTTTTTGTGGCCGTCTGTACTTCTTTGAAAATGAAGCGTCTCTTATTCGATATCTGCGTGATCCATTGCTGTTTGTGGAACAGCCCCCGCCATTGCCACGACCCCTGAGTAAACCTGTTGTTTCTGTTTACGATGGGAAAGCTCTGTTATCCAATCAGGAAGGCTTAAAGCAGCGATGTACAGCCAATCATATTGCCTTTAACCTTCATTGCCCATTGGTTTCGCTTTCAAAACTTTTTTCTTGGGCCGCGATTCACGCTCCTTTGCTTTCTCTTTCGCGGCGCGCCATTGATGCTGTGCTTACTGGTTCTTTCGATGATGCGTTGGTTGCGGAGCTACTGGCGCATCGTCTTAATGCAGGGGACGCCAAGAAGAGTGGTGCGGTGTTGCTTAACTTGCCAAGGACAAGGGAGCAGTACAAACTTCTGGGAGAGCGCGAATTAAGAGTAGACAAAGTTTTTATCTTTGACGAGGCAAATTATACGGATGTGACGTCGCTGATGACGTCCACGGCAACGGTTACTGTCTCCTCTTTACCCCCTCCAGATTCCATTGCTGCCCTTGCTGAGATAACAGAGTGTGTTGACGTGTTTATTAGGAATGAAGGCCGCGCGTCGTTGAGTTCCACAAGAGGGTTCCCAATGAATATGGAGAACACTTACCATACGACAGCAAACGTTGAGAAACACCTCGGGCCATATAAATGGTACTGTCCCTACAGCTGGTCTTTGCATGGGCTCTTGGTAGATCAGCATGAGATCCGTCTATACGGAGCCAGTTTTATTGGTCATTACTACTACTTCTCGTCAAAAGAATACTTACAGCACTTTCTTCTTCATCCTGGAGAACGGACCACACCACCGGGGTTGACGCCTTTGCCGAGTGCCCTTCCTTCTCGGATGCCGCCTGGTACAGAGTATTCCTTGGAATTACTTGGGTGTTGCCCTGTCACTCTGTGGGACACGCGGGATAAGAAGGGACTCCGTGGAGTGTTGGAGCCGGTGGCAAAAAAAGGGGATTCGCGTTATGTTGTGGAGTATGAGGGTCGCCACTACGCAATGATTGACGAACATTCATTAAAGCGGTTCTTGATGTGTCCGTGGAAATTCCTTGAAGGAGCAAGGCTGCCTCCTTCTCGCAAGGCACCACTTCCCGAGGGCCAGACAATGTCGACAATTGATGAGGAAACATTTATGCGACGTATCCTCTATGACCCTGTTGCATATGCTCTAATTGCCGTGGCTAAAGCGCGACCAAAGTACCCTGGCCTCTCCTTGGAGGAATCTGCCTTGAAATTTATGGCGCTTCACATGAAGTGTTTTAATGAGAAGAACACTGCCATACAAGCGGAACAATACAAGGCAAACTTTGAGACATTTTTGAAACGCGCGACGCTTTACAGATCAATGACGGAGGCCTCCGAGGACGTGGTGAAAGACGAGGAGTTCTTGAAACTGTGCAAGGAATGGGAAATGGCTTCCGACAAAACGCATGGGGATGTGTCTGGCCTGGTACATCTGCGGTCAGTAGATTGATTTAGGTATCGAGTCCATGAATGACGTCATTTTGTTCTTTTTTTGTTTGCTTCTTTCATTTTTTTTACCATGTATATATAATGCCAGTGGCCATGTGGACGTTATTTCTATTTTACTTTACATATTCTTATATATTTTTTGTTTTATTGTTTTTAAAAAGTGTTTCGCGTGCAGCTTCACTATCCTCTTTTTTTTTTTTTTTTTTTTTGATCCCGTTTGCTTAATTTGTGCGGATCATCAAGTAATTAGGCCGGGGGATATTCTCGGGGATGAAGTTTAGGCTGCGGTTGCCAAACAGTTCGCAGCCGGTGACGTTTGATGTGGAGGAGACCACGCCGTGGATTGCGTTTCTGCACGGTGTGGAGAGCCGGTCAGGCATCGTGAAGGAGCGCCTGCGGATCCTCTCTGGATATCCACCTCGAGTTGTAGATGCGGCGGATGCGGACTTGGTGGGGAGTCTGTTTAGGCAGGGAGACACACTCATTGTACAGGAAGGGGAGGCAACAGTGGTAAGGGGTTTGACAAGGGGACGCTACGTCCCTCCCGCCCATGATAAATGGCATTTTATTCGTCGTATTTGTCCGTCCGATAATTCTTGTCTGTTCCATGCTGCCGCGTATGTGTTGCGAGAGAAGAGTCGAACGGACGGACCCAAATTGCGCGAGGAATGTGCCGCTGTCGTCTTGGCGAACCCCGACTACTTTAATGAGTTGTTACTTGAGCGGCCGAATAGCGAGTATGTGCAGTGGATCAGGCAACCCACTTCATGGGGCGGGGCTATTGAATTAATTATCTTGAGTTTTTTGGCGCAAACGGAGATTATAGCGTTGGATTTAGAATCGGCTCGAATGGAGCGTTTTGGACAAGACATGGAATATACTGTTCGGGCATTTGTTGTTTACACGGGACGGCACTACGATGCTATCGCCATGAATCCAATGTACAATTCACCCAGAGAGAACGAGGACCAGGTGCTTTTCAATGTGCGTGATGAAGGTGTCATTGCTCGAGCTGAGCGCTTTGTGTTGGAAGAGGCAGAGAGAATGAAGCAATGAGAATGGATATCGATATGAAGGGAACTTCGAGAATCAATCCTTTCTTTTTTTTTTTTTTTTGTTTGCTGTTTTTATTTCCAGCAAGGCATTATACGCACATATATATATATATTATGTATGTTGTGTTTTTACTTTCATGTTATATTTTTGACAAGGTGAGTTTTTTTTTTTTTTTTTTGTTGGTGCTTTTGCCAATTTGCATTTAGTGCTTTAATCCGCAAAAAATTTTTTTTTTTTTTTTTTTTTTCATTTCCCGTTATTTTTTTTTGTTTGGTTTGTAAAAAGAAAAATAAGACCGGGAAAAAGTGTTTGCATGTTTTTTTTCTTTTTTTTCCTTCCCTCTGCCTGCCTGTTTTTTACGTGTGCGCTTGTGTCTGTTTCCCCAACGCATATTGTTGACTTTTCCTTTTTTTTTTTTTTGTGTGTGTGTGTGTGTGTTTCTTTGTATCCGGGGCAGTGTGAGGGTTCTTTGCTTCTTGTGCCTTTTGAGCGGCCCTGTGAGGGAAGGAAGCCCCAGCAGCAGGAACAAAGAGGGCTGGAATTAACGCTGGAAGAGAGACTGGAGGGGGTGTGGGGGGAGGGTAAGACAGGAACAGTCATCCCTCCCAAGGGAGCAATAAGCGGAAAGGAGGGAGTGCGGGCACTTTGACTATTTTTATGAATGAGGGGTCACCAAAGAAGGGCAAGAGCGGCTTTATATCGCCCCTCAATCGCACAGCAACAAGTGTGCATCGGGAGATGCCGCTGAGCGAGGGACGTGAAACGGAGTTGGCCCTCATCGCCGCGACCCTCGCGAATAAGCAGCTTCAGGTTTCCAAGTTGACCTCCGCTTATTATGTAAAGACCAACCACAAGTTGGTGCAGGAAAATGAAAAGCTGGAGCATGAGCTGGAGGAGAAGGAGAAGGAAGACTTCACAGTTATGGAGGCCTTGGAAGATCGTATGAATGCGGTGAAGTGCGATAATGCAGAAATGAAGGAGAAGCTGACTGCTGCACGGGATTCTGCTTGGCGTGATGCGATGGAGGAGATGGCATCGATGCAAGAGAGGTTGGAGGAAAGTGAGTATCACACTTCGAGTTTGCAGAAACGAATAGAGTGGCTGGAGGAGGAGCTTGCGAGTGTGGATGCCTTTAGGGAAGCCCGTGACAAACATCAACGCGAGATGGAAAACCTAAAGAAGGAATACACGGAGGAGCAAGACAAACACGCGCGGGATTCTCACTTACTCCGCATGCAGTTAATGGAAGAGCGGGTGCGAATTCGGGCGGAGGAGCAGCTACTTAATAGGCGACACGAGGAAGACGTCCGCAAAATGGCTATGGAGCTCCTCACTCAAAAGACACGCGACGTGGATGAGGAGAATCAGCAACTCCTGGAAGAAAAAATTTTCTTGTCTGAAGACGCAAAGGCGGCACGTGATGAAGCAGATGCTTTAAGGCAGGAAATTCATAAGCTGCGTCAGAATGCTGCAATGGCGAAGTCAGCAGAGGAGGAGTTTACCGCGCACGCGGTGCGCCAAAAGCGAGAAATAACATTGCTCAGAGAACAGGTAAAAACGACGGAGGATAACCTCAAAGCGGTAGTAGAGAGCTACGAACAACGCATACAAAAACAGGCTAGGGAACATGCCGCTGCCTTACGACGACTGACGCAGGAGCGGGACGAGGCAAATTGCTTCGCCGAAGGTCTTCGTCGCGAGCTTGTGAAAATGCGATCCCTGTCGCGGCAGATGGTGGAGCGACGCACCGAGTTGGAGATGTTTTTCCACGATGCTTTGGCACAAGTTCGCCGGGAGATGTTGGAGGAGCGACGGGGAGGCACACGTTATATTGGCCACCAACACCCCAATTCATCCTCTTTCCAGCGAACTGCACCGCGACTGAAGGAGGGCGAGTGTGAATTGATGTTGATTAGCAACCGTCGTTTGCGACTGTCATTGCCGCCGCCTTTGCAAATTGGCGGTGGTGGGAGCAACACCACGTGGCATAGCAAGGAGTCACCGGCTGGTGATGGGAATATGGGCGGACCTTCTCTTCCACTGATTACGTTACCAAAGGAGGAACTCGCTGTCACACGGAGTAGCCGCCTCATTCCTGCAAAGGAATGGCACTACAACGAGGGCGGTGCTTTGACAACCCGCTTTCTTCCTTCTTCAGAGGAGCCATTGTTTGCACATTCAGACCTCTCTTGTATCCCCAACGCCCCCAAGCTAAGGGATCTCCAGTCCATTGAAATCTCACAGTTGAGTTGGAAAGACAAGGAGCGGGTCCTGCAGATCCTCTTCAAACAACTTCAGGGGAAATCCAATTCCTCAAAGGCGGAACAATGTAAATCAACGGGCGATACGGGTGATTTGGTTGGCGGTGTGGTTGTGAATTCGGAGACGCATACGTTTCTTACGGAGTAGTTGCGGTGTGGGGAACACGAAATTTGTAATGGGTGTTTGTTTGTTTGTTGTTGTTGTTGTTGTTGTTGTTGTTGTTGCACTTTCAAGAGGGATTCTGCTCGGCAGTTTTCTCTCCATATACGTGTGTGTCTTTCTCTCTCTCTCTATGTGTGTGTGTGTGTGTGGAGGGAGAGAGAGAGAGAGGAAGTACTTATTTTCACCAATTAAATTTCTCTTATGTGGTTTTGTCTCCCCATGTACAAGCTTCAAGTCGTTTGTCTTTTTGAGTGCGCACCTTTTTTTTTTTTTTTTTTTTTCTTTTTTGTGGTGTCCCTACAACTTTTCTTTCATGTTGGTGCCTTTTTTTGTTGTATTTGCTGCACTCGGTTCTCTGCGGACATGTCTCAGGCGGGTTATATTGTTGCGCGGCGAATTTGTGTGATTATAATTTGCTTTTACTCTCTTGGAGAAATAAATACTTTTATACGTGTATGCAATTGTTATTTGTTTTTCCGCGGTAGGGCATAAATTCTCGGCTTTTTTTTTTCTTTTTTTGCGTGTGTGTGTTTTTCTCTTTTTATCTCGTTACTTCTGCGTCTGTAACATGTATCTTTTTTTTTTTTTTGTTTGTTTGTTTTCTTTTCTTTTTTTTTTTGCTCTCATTGTGTAACTTGTTATGGGAAACGAAGGCGGTGAGTATATGATCCCCGTGGCCGGTCGACGAAAGGGCCGCGCACCGCCACCGCCCGCAACGGCCTCTGGAGGAGAACCCGACTGGCTCTTTGCGGAGAATGTTGCCCCGGCAACTGGCAGCTCCGCACCAAATCCTGCACTCCCATCCGTCCCCTTCGCTCATGACGCGCTCTCGTTTCTTGATTTTGAGAATGAGACGTCTGCCCCCACGGCATTGTCGCACGGTGCCGCGACACCCGCATCAGGAACAGCGGCACCAACACCGGCCCAAGTGGCACCCTCATCACCTTCTCTTTGGAACCAATACGAGTTCTTGCAGAGGGAGTTGCAGGGGACCCAAGAAGAACTGATTCCGTATGAGAATCGTATCAAAGTATTGGGGAGGGGCGAGGACGCTCTGTGCCAAGAGGTGAGACGCTTGGAAAACGACGTTTGCGGGAAGAGGGAAGAGGTGGAACGCGCAGCTTTGCTTCGGACGGAGCTGGAAGAGTACTTGGAGCTGCGAAGGCAGCGGCTGCGGGAGGAGACGGATGGCTACCGTAGCCAGGACCTCATAAATACTTCTAATACTCTTCAAATGAAGTACGAGAGTGACGTAGCACGTTTAACGACGCTTACGAAAGAAAAGGAAGCATCATTGCGTGCCGTAAAGGAGAGACATGACGCCGCGGAAGGGGACGTCCGCGCAACAGAAGTGCATGAGCGAGTTCTTGCCCAGCTGCAAGAGACACTGAAAAAGGCTATACATGAGATGGGAAAAAGTGTGTGTGTGCGCGTTAAACCATTTCTTATTGGAAGCATACGAGAGATATTCGTGCAGTCTGCTCAACAGCGTCTAGACATTCTCTCCAATGATCGAAAAAG